GAGGCCGGATGTATGCAGTCCGTCTGATATTTCAGTTTTGACAGACATTTGCTGCTGATGAGATCTGAGGAGCTCCCGGTATCTATGAGGATTCGGCCAACTCTCTGGTTGGCCACTTTACATTCAATAACGAGAGGGTCGTCATGCGGCCCCCTTACCCCTCCTAGATCCTCTTCAGTGATGACAATCTCAGGAAATGTATATTTGGACGGCCGTTCTTGGTGAACGGAATTTACATCTAACCGCCTTATATTATCTTTGTTGCCCCTAATAGTGGGGCCGCCTCCTGAGAAGCCGCCTGCAATGGTGTAGACGACTGCATCATCTGTATCAGAACTGTCGGCCTGTTGATTCTTTTTGGCCGACTGCTTTTTTGAGGAAGTGTTCCCCGTAGATTTCTTGACATAAGTGTCAAGATCACCTTGCTCAGCCAAGCGGTCTAGGTACCGCATGAGACTGATGCAGTCATTGGTGTGATGACCAACGTCATCATGATAAGCACAGATTTTGTCTTGGTTCCGGTTGTTTGCAGAACCCTTCATGGGGAGCGGCTTCTCAATTGAGAACCATCCCTTTATTTCTTTTAGGATAAACTGGTTATCCTTGTTAAACACATACTTTGGGGAGTATGGTTTGAATTCTTTTTTCTTTTTCTGGGCCGGCTGTTTAGAGGAATCAGCCGCCCAGACCTCTTTTCTTTTCTCATCTTTGTTAGACGACTGTTTCTGTCGTCCTTCTCTTTTGTCGAACCTTTTCCCGTCCGACTGTTTTATCGTACACAGATCAGTCGCCTGTATATAGGCTTCTGCTTCAATCAAGGCCTCTTGAAGAGTCGCCACCCTTTTTCGAACTAAATCAAATTTGAAGGTAGACCCGTCTTTGAGACCTCTAAAAAAGTCAGTATAAGCTACCTCATCCGGTAACCCTTGAATCTGTATTCTCATCAGGTTGAACCGCCTGATGTAAGAACGAAGCCCCTCCTTCTCGCCCTGCTGAATTGTTCCCAAATCAAGGGTCGTTTTCTTCGCAGGGATGTTCATGGCGAAGTTGGAGGCAAATAAGTAAGCAAGCGTCCTGAAGCTGTTTACACAACCAGTCGGCAGGTTGCCGAACCATTGCTGTGCGATTCCCTTGAGAGTCGCTGGGAAACACTTGCACCAAGTGGGATCATCCAACCCTTGAAGGTACATCAGGTTGGTGAAAGCCATCAGATGGTCTTCTGGGTTAGTAGTGTCGTCATAGGCGCCTACTAGTACATTTTTTACTTTGGCCGGCTGAGCGGCTTCAGTAATTTCCTTGGAGAAGGCCGACGGCTGTTCACCAAGTCTAAGCAGCCGTAGCTGCCAGTCCATAGGTTGGACGTTTTTTGCTGCAGGTCCACCAAATGGAGGTGGCTGCATAAAGTACTGTTGTTGCGGCACAAATGGTAAGTTTGGTACCGCCTGGGCACTATGAAAGCCGGACTGACGGGAGGTGCCGCCTGACTGACTCTCATGGTACGACTGAGTATGCCTCATCGAGGCATTTCGCAAACTGTCTTGAAAATTTGAAGTAGAAGCCGACTCTGACAATCGGTCACTCTTCTTCTGCTCTAGCAGTAGCCGAGCATCTGTGAATGTTTGCTTTGACCCGTCCGCCTGAATATGACGAACCGGTTTCCTGTTTCCCGTAGGGTAACGGAATTTTGTGAAGTCAAGAGCAAGTGGCTCCCGCTTCTTGGATTTAGGATGAGGAGTCGCCTCTCGCCCTTGAACTGGCTTCCTCTTCAGTGAAGTGGAAGGTTTTTTGGCCGACTGCTCTTTGACTGAAGCAGGCGGCTTTTTGTTGATCAACTCTTGAATCTCTCCCTTGAAGTCCCTCATGAAGGTCATGAGTTCGTTCCTTGTGATGGGAGCAGACCCATCAGTCGGCTGTTGCCGAGCAGGCGGTGCGCCTGCTGGCTCGCTTCCTGTTTGAAGATGCTCCCGTTCCCTCCTTTCGGTATGACGGGTACGTCGGGCCCTTAGGGTCCCGTCTGGAGCTGTATGAGTTTCCACTTCAAATTCACTTTCGGTGTCATGGTCCGACTGAACTTGAGGATTGTCTAGGGGACGCCTCTCTTCTGGAGTCGGTACAGACTTGGATGCCATCTCTGAAGTACTCTCCCCACAGACGGCGCCAAATGTTTCGGGGTTTTCTGATGTCCTGCGGGAGAGTTACAATTCCGAGACTGGAACCGGACGCCTGTACCTGCAAAATAACGGAGACTCCTGAGAGCTCCGCCTCCAACGGTCAAGTTAGTACCTGATTAAGGAGTAATTAATACGGAAAGTAAAGTAATAAGATCTCTCTAGGTGAGAGTGTTTAATGTTGGTAATCTGCGTCGTTAGCGAGATTAGCCGGTTATTAGAGTTCCGTAATGTTTCTGTTCTTCTCTTGATTTCTTGATTGCTTAATTAATGAGGATTAATTAAGTATTTATAGCCTTGAGAAGCGTGCCACTCTCTAGGTTTAGGGTAAACCTAGAGCTGACCGGGCCTCTAGACAGGATTGGGCCTTGATGGCCGGTTTTTCCATTTGGCATGGGTGGACACGTGACGTGCCTCGATTGGTCCGTAGAGGACGTATCTGTGGTTGACACGTGGTAGGCTCCTATTGGCCTTCGTGAAGGACACGTGGCGGAACCTGGTTGGTCCACTTGTCAGACGGTGATTGGTGGATAAAAATCCCCTAATCAAAATTTATTAATGTGATTTTTGTATGATAATTATAATTTTTATTGTGGTTATTATTATTTTTGTGATAATTTGAGTAATTAGTATTAGTATTATTAATTAATATTAGTTATTTTTGTGAATTTTCTGTGTTTTTTTTTTAAATTTCAGATTTTGAAGTTTATCGAGCGTGAAATGTGTTGTAAGTGTCGTGAGTGAGTGTTGTGAGTATTTATATACGAAGGGTAAATACGGAATTTCAAGGGAAATATGCAAGCGACGCCTAGTAATTTGGGAGCGACGTTTAACAACCCCCTAGTCTTTTTTACATTTGGAGTAACTAACAGTAATGTAGATTGTATAGGTAAGGAAAACGAATTATTCTAGCCTTGTATGCGATCAACGATAATTAGTACGGAGTAATACACAAATTCTTATACGTGGCTGACCACACCGCCATTATAGGAGGTTAATTCGTTAGTGTTATAGAGGTTACTTGGTCAGTGTTAAAGGAGTTACTTGGTCAGTGGTATAGGATTACTCGGTTAGTGTTGTAGGGGTTACTCGGTCAGTTTTACAAGGGTTACTTGGTCAGTGTTATAAGGGTTATTTTATTCTTTTATAAGTGACCACATGTTGTGGCCATCCATACACAAGACGGGCTATAATAATATAAAGATAGAAAAACAATTCTCGTAACAAACAAGATAATGGGCATGTTTGGTGAAAAGCTAAAACTAATTGTGTTAACTGATTTTGACTAGTTGATTGTATTAATTGATTTGACTAACTTATCTTATTAGCTGATTGTATAAAAGTGTTTGGTAAATGGTTGATTGCTTAAAGCTGATTGATTATGTGAAATGACCGATAAGCTAATTGTGGGGGTTTTAAAATTATATGAGGGTATAAGTGTCATTTCACCATAATAATTGAATAAGCTAATTGAATTTAAAAAAGAGCTTATTTAGTGGAATAAGCTCTTTAAATAAGCTTTCCACCAAACACCTTGTTCGTGTTTGGTGAATAGCTTAAAGCTGAAAGTTGAAGCTGATTATATTAGCTGATTTTGACTGGCTGATTGTATTAACTGATTTGACTAACTTATTTTATTAGCTGATATTATAACGGTGTTTGGTAAATTTTTGATAGCTTAAAGTTGTTTTAGCATGTGAAATGACCAATAAGCTAATTGTGGGGTAGGTAATTAAGGTAAGATTTTAAATTAAATGGGGGTATAAGTGTCATTTCACCATAAATTAATGAATAAGCTAATTGAAAAGCTCCTCTCAAAAAGAGCGTATCTAGTGGAATAAGCTCTTTAAATAAGCTTCCCACCAAACACCTTAAATTAGCTTATTTAATATTCAATAAGCTAATGTTGGTCAAATAAGCTAATTTTGCTCAAATAAGCTGTTTACCAAATAAACACAACCCTTTATATTAGCTTATTTAATACTTCGTAGTCAATAAGCTAATGTTAGTCAAATAAGCTAGTTTTGCACAATTGAGCTACGGAGTATTTGCCAAACACAACTAAGGATAATTTATTGTGGGATGCTCGAGAACTTGAAGAAAACTTTTTAAAAGTTAATATATTGTGCGTGTATATGTACGGTTTGAGTATAATATGGTTCAGGGTTCGTGGGTAGGATATGGGTCTGAAACATTATATCGGACCCTTACCTTACCCAATGATACCTAGACCCATACCCTACCCGTACCCATAAGCAGTGGCGGAGCCACTTTGTGTCCTGGTAGGATACGTAGCGTACCAAATGTTTTTTTAAAAAATAGTAAATTTTCATTTAAATATAATACTAAGAGTATGTTAGCTTATTTACTTGGCAAAAAAGTAAATAGTATAAGCAATCTGCTATGACATAGGACAAGACGAAAATAAACAATCTTCTTGTTACAAACAAATTGACAGTAAAACTAAACATACTCACTGTCTCACAATGTGCAAAAAATATAGCTACATCTCTCTCCTTTCAGTACAACATAAAAATTCTGAAAGCAAAGACATGCAGGGCCAGCAGACTTCTAACAAAACAAATACAATGTGCTCAAACTAAGCGAAAAGAATACAAGGATCAAATTAAGAGGAGAAAATTTATATCTCTGCTGACCTGTAAACTGGACAATTTGATCTACTTATTGGTGTATCTTTTATAAAATCAATGGTTAGAACTTAAAAGTTTCACAATGTATCTTACATTCAATTATATTTGTTGCCTCGTTCTAAACTCTGATAAACTACGAGTATAAAAAGAAATAAATAAATAAATAAATAACAACGTAGAATTAAGAAAAAACAACATAAGCAACTTTTAGTTTTTCAACATGAAAAAGCTCTTCAATTTGAAGAGTTAAAACCACGGGACTTGAAAGGAATGCACTGTGCACCCTTTTTTCTCTTACTATGATTTGTTGATGGTAACAAACCCAAAAACATGTTTCGCAAAGGTTTACAGCAACTTCATACATAAGATAACAACAATTGATGGACAAAGGTGGAAAATGTCACCAGATAACAGAGTTCTGTGCAGCTGCATTTTCCAACCGGAGCCTGTATCTATTAATTACACTAGCCTTACTGAAGCTCCATATGACCCCAACAATCTAAACAATTTTCAGCACCATTAAACCACGATTACCCATCAATCGAACCACAATAGCAGAAACAATTTTCAGAACCATTAAACCACGATTAACCATCAATCAAACCACAATAGCAGAAACAATTTTCACTTTTTCAGTACCATTGAAATCCTCTCCTCCGCTTGTTTTGTGTGTTGAAATTTAGGATACCACAAAACACTTCCCAAACCTTCCTTTAGAATCACCAAATTAAAGTGGGTTGATTAGCATCACTGTGTAAGCTTTCCCCACCTTCTAGGAAGGGTTGAAAAGCTCCACCAATCATATGCTCAGGCCAATCCAATTAAACTACCCGAAATTATACATGTAAAACAAGGGCCTCGATTTCTTTTCACTTGTTTCATGCTCGGTGTATCTCCGGTTGCATCAATGATGCACATAGCCTGGCATCTGAAGAGCATTGAAATAGTCACCATCTTCGCTTGAGTTCAGCATTCCTGCACTACATCTCTAAAGCAAACCTCCTTCCTAAAATTCCTATTTCCTAGCAAAGTCAGGTAAAAGCTTCCTCCGCTCAGTCTGATTCCATTTATTCCACTCAATATTCACATCCCCTGAAAGCATTGAGCAATAACGAATTATGATGTATCAAGGAGGAAAAGTGGTAAGATGTGCATAGCACTTATTACGGAGCTCCGAAGCTGTATAAATGCTTCATAAATAGTCAACAGTTTCAAAAATTTATGGTAGGATAGTTGATATTTACTTGTATGTACAATGTCATGAGAATAAAACACAAAATTTACAATCCTAAATGCACAAAATCTGACTTAATGTGGCACAAGGGTACCACATGTACAGAAAAGAAGCTAAGATAATTACAGATTCAAATTACAGACTTTACTAATAAAGTAATAAGAGAGTATTTTTTTGTCCTTCAATAGCTCTTAGTTTCCCACTCAGATAAACAACTTAGTAAATAGTAATCTATTGTACAAGTTTAACTAGAAACTCAGAATATTAATCGATAAAATTCAGTTATAAAAGGTACTGTAGTAGGCTATTCAAGTCTGAAATTTCAGATACCTAAAGCTTGCAGGATCATCTGAGTGAGATGATAGCATGGATTAAGTTTCCTCCGATTTGAGACGACAATTTAAAGTAGGAACCTGCTGAGCTGCAATAAACAATAGCAGCTAATATTTAATTTCAGGAAACAAATCTAAACAAAAGCCAAACGACAAAATGAGTAGGGAAATAATGCAATATAGCTACATAGGATAATGATAATGATTATTCCTGCTTGGAAGTACCTGATGAGAAGCTTACAGCAGCATGAAATTGTCTGTCACGGAATTGTTGCGATGATATTAATCAATTCTGGTAATTCAACAGACCAGATAAAATTGATTTAGTTAAGTCAAGAAGCTATTGCTGTCCAACTGTGAAGATAAAATTAGACATCGTTAATTCTTAACCAAAAACCCAATGCTTATAACTAACAGCGAGCCAGATTTGTAACGTGTTTTTTCATGCAGCTATACTTAAAGCCCATACATGACATAAACTGGACCAAGTTAATTGTATATACTGAAGTTATGCCAGATGAATTCCTTAATGATTACTAATTACAAAGGAGGGTCTATATAATATACTTCGTATATATATATATACCACACACACTAATCAAAACAATAAACATGGGAAACAGTTGAAATGCATCACCTATAAGCAAGTCTGACATTTGTACAAATAGTACGATTTTGTCTAGGAAACACATTGTGTGCATCAACCAGTTTCTGGAGAAGTACTTGTGTAACTTTTCCCATCTTTTTTTTACGAAAACACCCTTTTAACAACAAAATGTCCAACATGTGAGCCGACTTATAATCAATCCAATACAATGTATGAGTATTTTTATTCTCTTTTGCCTTGTTCTACATCGTTTTATGGGACAAATGGACAATTAACTGTTTCTCCCCTTTAAATAATAGTAAAAAGGAATAAATTGAGATACCAAATGCTCCCTCCACCCTCATATTAACTTTTTATTATTTGACCATACATTGACTACCCTTTTGGTTGATGTATTAATATAAAGTTTCATGATATAAGTTTTAAAATAATTTTTATTAATATTTAATTATATAATAAATAAAGTTATTATATAAAAAATAAAGTTAAACTAGTACATTGGCATATGACAAGAAAGTAATTTTAAGTCTTTCAACAAATCAACTTTTCAACTTAATATATAGATATTTAATTGTTCTTCAAAAAAAATAAAAAATTAGTAGTCAAACTTGTATTTTATGTCAAATGTGTTACTAAAACTAACGCATTTGTTTTGTAACGAAGGAAGGTTTTTTATGTCAAATGTCATCACACATAATACTAGTAAAAGAAAACAAAGACAGTTGAGTAACTCACAAGTCAACCCTGGGGATATGTTGGAGAAGGTGCCAATCTTGGCCATTCGACTTCTCATATCTTTCTTTCAGATGTGGACAATCCTCGATAGAAAGTTTCTGTAAAGAGGTAAGGCCTTGTAATGACTATGGAAGTGCTGCCAATTCTTGACAATCAACAATATCAAGTGTTTCAAGGACAGAGAGATTCCCCAATGTTATATTTTCCAAGGTTTTGCACTTCTGAATCACGAGATGTTGAATGGAATTTGAAGATTCTATCGTCAAACTTGTCAGTTCCATGCATCCGTATATCGTTAAATATTGTAGATTAAATAGCTTACTACTGATTGCAAGATAAGCTAGTCCACCTTCAATTTCAGAAATACGCAAAATTTTTAAGGTGGTGAAAAGTGTTGATGAAGATAAAGATGATGAAGATGCTTTTTCATCATCAATTGAAATCAGATTCGACTCTAACACCTTCCCATTGATTTTTTCCACCCTCAAAAACTCCAACTTTGGTGCTAGGGGCATTGATGCCAATTTGGGGCAATAATTTAATGTCATTTGCAGAAGACGAGGAAACAGCAATTGCCTTGGCTCACCATCATCATCCTTTGCTGGTCTTGTCCACCCCTTTATAGAACTTAAATAATCGATTGACAAGGTCGTTAAGGATGGGAAGTAACCATTTTGGGATCCAGAACCACACTCTCCACCTCCACTTACCCAGATGTCGCCTTCATCTTCTACATATTCCAAGTCATCAAGCCAAGATAAACAGATTTCATTGAGATAAGGCAGCCGACTCAAATGAGGAAGAACTCTGCAATTACTGCAATCCTCAATACGAATGGAAACAAGCTTAGATAACCCATCTAACCATCTACGTGGCATCTCAACTCCTTCATAGTAATGAACTCCAATATCTTTAAGATTTGGAGGCAGTTGCAAGAACATTAACATTTTATCCATTTCACTTAAATTGGGAGCAACTTCCATACATTTAAAATCTAAGCAAAGACTAATCAATCGCTGATTATCCTTCAAATTTGCTCTCTGTGCTTCCACAACAGCATCACTTCGCCACTTGCAAAATGTAATAAGCTGATTCTCACAAAAATTCAAGGGTGGCAATGAATCTATACCACAGCTTTTCCCAACCACAAATACATCCAACTCTTTCAAAGATGTCATTTTCCCAAATCCTACTGGAAAATCACTCAAACCACTCCCAGCAATTTCCAAGTGCCTCAAGTCATCCAATTTAAAAAAATCTCTTGGCAACTCTGTAAGAGAGACACAATAACGAAGCTTCAGTGTTTGCAGGTTCTGTAATCTTGTTATGTCATTAGGAAGACATCTAATAGAATAATTGCTTTCAAGACTAAGGTACCTCAGATGTCTCAACTTCCCTACAGAATTTGGGACCACGGAGATATTCATACCCTCTAAGTCCAAGACACGCAAAGACTGAAATTTCAAAATTGCCATTTTAAGAGATGGTGTTTCTATAGTCCATCCAAAATAGTTACTAGACAGTGTCACTGACCGCATCTTCCTAGCAGCAAGCAATGACACTGAAACTTTCCATCCACTATAAATCCCCCTTTTTTTAAAACTCACATGCATAAGTCCATCAGTAGAAGATATTTTGTCGGAAGGCTCAACCTGTTTCATCTCTTCACCAGCTATATCTTGAGCCAAATCATGCACTAAATCATGCATTTTGCAGCATATGACGTTCCCTACATCATCTTCATTTGGATCTTGGAATAAATTCCTCCCTAACAGTTCCAAAAAATATTGTTCTCCAGTATCCGTGCTTGATGGATCAAAATATCCTTGTGCCATCCACAATTTAACTAATTTATCTTTCCTATATGTGTAATTTTTTTTGAACAATGAACAGTAAGCAAAGCATTGCTTTAATGCCGATGGCAAGTAATCACAACTCAACTTCAACACTTGCATTATGCTGTTGTCTTCGTTCCTCTTTGCCTTCGAGAGTCGAGCATTTCTAATCCGTTGCCAATGTTTCTCGCTATTTTCAGAGTGTAGAAGGCTTCCAACAACCCTGATAGCAAGGGGAACATTTCCACAACTTTCAACGATCTCCTTCCCAAGCTGAGTCAAACCAGGATTACTCTCTTCTTGCCCCAATCGGAATGCAATTTTTTTGAAAAGGTTCCAGGACTCCTCTTCAGCTAGAAGTCCTAGACTGTGGGGTTCTGCTGTCCCAACAGCTTTTGCAACATTAGCAGAGCGTGTTGTTACAATAACTCTACTCCCATTTGCGCCACATTCAAGCAAACTTAGAAGATCCAACCAACTATCCCGACTTTCATCCCATATATCATCTAAGACAAGAAGATACTTCTTATCTTTTATTGATACTTGGATGCTCGATACAATATCTTCAAATAAGAGTCTATCAAAATCCTTATCACCGGTGAAGCATTGGTAAACTCTCCTGATTACTGTGTTTTGATCACCTAACTCAGGTACACAGACCCATTTAGTAAGATCAAAATGGTTCTGAACCCCCTCATCATTAAAAACCAGTTGAGCAAGAGTGGTTTTTCCGATACCCCCTAAGCCCACTATTGGAATCACAGCAATCCTTTTCCCATCATTATTGGAATTAAAAAGCATCCCAATAATAATGTTTTTATCAGTTTCCCTACCAATGACATCTTCTGCTTTCACAAAAGAGCATGTTTCCCTATTCCTCATGAAACGAGCCCTTAGTGGTTGTGGTTCGTCTCTATGACCATAGGCAGGCAAGTTCAAGCCAGCAATATCTGAATTGATTTCACAAAGTTGTTGTCGAATAGACTTGATTTCTCGAGATATTTTCCAGTTAAAACAAAGAGTGCCAGACCTCGAGAAAGAAACACAAACCTGCTTGTTAACTTCAATCTGCTGTTTCTGGCGGTCAACAGTAAGGACAAGATCAAACAGGTCGTCAACTTGGTAAAGAACCATCCTCAGCCTGCGAAGCCACTCTTTGACGGCATCACTGCCATCCTCTTCCTGGTGCCTCGGGAACTCGAGCTTGGATCATCCTGATGGTTTTCTCAAGCTTCTTCAAATCGTCTCGTGCACCCCACCAGGATGCAGCCTCTTTCATGGCTGCTTTGCCAAAGCCTTCCAACACTGTTCCAGACAACTCAAAAAGAACCCCCTCTGCCATTTTCTTTTTGAATTTCTTGTTGGTGGTTCACTCCCTTTTTTCTATGCCTTGCAATTCTGGTAGACAATTCTTGTAAATGATGATGAAGGATGAATTACAAGGACTTTGCATTATTATCAGCTTTTATGTAAAAGCAGAGTGAAACCAATGATTTTTTCTCCCGTTGGCTGTGAATCACACATTCTACTGACAAATAATTACAGTAACGGACTACAGTACTCTTTTTTACATTTGGAGTAACTAACAGTAACGTAGATTGTATAGGTAAGGAAAAATAGTGTGTAACACCCTAGGAAGAGATGTATTTTTTTTTCAAAAAATTTAATCAAGTTTTATAATTCCATTTTGCATCGTTCGTCCGATAAAGGTTACTCCATTTCTTTATACGGTAGCATTCCCCGTTTTTTTATACCACTCAGCAAAGTAGTAACAGATTAAAACACTCCCATCTACTTGTAATTTTTTGTTGACAATTTTGCTCATCCAGATATGAAAATATCTCTTCTTTGAAAGGAGTTAATCACATACATGCTTACCTTTATAAAGTGAAGTAGATTTCTTGTCGGCATTTCATCAAACAGCTTGCGTGCATTCTCTGGATTTGCTGCCCTTCAATTTTCCTTTTGTAAACCTTAGCACAATTGAACCTAATGTACTCCGTAATCAGTGTAGTGTTGCAAAATAGTGAAGTGTTTTTCATTTCTGAAATGACACTTAAAAAATCCATGAAAAGTTATGGCTTTGGATTATCACTAAAGTAGAAACAAACAAAAACGAACGGCCATGGAAAAAGATGAATGATCTATTTTAACTAAAGTTTTCTGGATTATCTAGAAAACTCTGATTGAATCGAACTCACAATTATATTTTATTTTACTTGAGCAGATGAGAATTTAATACAAATATGGGAAAAGGGAGAATTATAATAATTAAAGACAACAGAAATTACCAGAGGATTGATAGTAGATTAGTTGCCGAATCAAGTAGTTTGCCCAAATGAATTAGAGTGGCGACTCCAGATAAAGATAAGTTAATCATCCTCTTCTTAAACGTGAGATTAATGTGGGACGCTGATTGTGAGCACTGAATTAAAGTGGTAAGATATTAGGCGTCGCTCCTATTTTAATGTGAAGTTACCATTTTGCCCTTGTGTTAATTTGGGCTATATAAAGCTCCACCACTTTGTCACATAGTTTCCCGAGCATTTTAATATTATTCCCGAGCACTTTGACCCACTACTTGCCTTAAAAAAATCCCGAGCTCAAAAATTCCCGAGCTCACCGCCAAAAATATTTAATTTTAAAAAAAAAATTATCAAGGTTTAGCGACGGGTTTTGGACGATGAACGACGACAATGATCGTACACCGGAGGCATCGTCGGAAGAATCTGTATATATACATCCGCCTGGAATTTTTGGATCTTCCATGGTGGATCCGGAAATCTTAGGCGGATCCTCCATGAAGGATCCGGATTTTTTGGGCGGATGTCCCCTTTTCATTAAAAAAAAAATTATTATTATTATTATTATTATTATTATTTGTTGTTGTTGTTGGTATTGGTGAGCATAAATTGGGTTGCGAAAAAAATGTGGTTTGTAATTGTTATTAATATTGTTATTGTTGCTATTGTTATTGTTATTGTTATTGTTATTGTTATTGTTAGCTATTTTTGTTAGTATTAGTTTATGTTAATGTTAGTTAATATTAGTTAATGTTAGTGTTAGTTAATATAAGTTAATGTTGTGATATTAGTTAATGTTAGTGTTAGTTGGTGTTAGTTAATATTAGTTAATGTTATTATTATTATTATTATTATTATTATTATTATTATAATAATTATTATTATTATAATAATAATAATAATAATAATAATAATAATAATTATTATTATTATTATTATAACAAAAACCTACAAAGTCAATTGATTATTATTATTATTGTTATTATTATTATTACTATTATTATTATTGTTGTTGTTTTATAAATATTGTTATTAATATTGTAATTATTATTATTATTGTTGTTTTAAAAATATTGTTATTAATATTATAATTAAAATACTAATATTGGAGTGTTTTGTGTGTTTTCTTTTATTTTTATAGGATTCGGAGTTTGAAGACGGCGGTGACGATGTGAATTATAGTGCGAATTTTGTCACAGACACGTTTTTTCCAACGTTTGATGATGCAGTTAAATGAGCAGATGTTGTTGCCATAAATCTGGGATTTATTTTGGTTAAATCGTCTTACAACAAAACTAGAGATGGTCGACCGTATCGATATTTGAGACGTGATCCGGGACGAAAGAGCAAGCCGAGAGATCTTGAGAACGCAATTCGGAAGGACACAAAAACCAAAGCCAATGGTTGTCCTTTCTACATCAAGATATATTATGAGTTCATCACCGATAGTTGGAAGATCCGGGCAAAAAATGATGCAACTGGGACCGATAACCATCCAATGATTGTGTATCAGGAGGGTCATCGTAAAATTAGTGGCTTGAGCCCGGATGCGAAGAAGGTTGTGCGTGACATGAAAAAGTCAAAGGTTGCACCGCGTAACATCATGGCGACTATTGCAGAGCAATTTCCCGATGATCATCCAAACATCAGACATATTTACAATTGTCGGAATGACTCGAGAACAGAGATGTCTGATGGGAGAGGAGTTGTTCAATAATTTCTTCATTTGGCGAGACAGAGTCAGTATATTTACTGGGTCATGTCTGATGATCTCGGCGTTCTACATCATGCGTTTATGGTGCACCCAATCACGGTAAACATACTACGCACGTACCCACATGTGATCGGTATGGATTCGACTTACAAGACCAACCGATAAGGGATGTCGTTCTTTGAGATAGTTGGTGTGACACCGACAAATCAGAATTTCCTCGTCGGTTATGTGTTCATGCGCAACGAGTGCACGGCAAGCTATCGGTGGGTTTTGCAGAGATTAAGAGAGTTGATTGGGTATGATAAGGAACTCACGGTATTTTTGACAAACCGTGAGCTTGGCCTGTGTGCGGCATTGAGAGAAGTGTTTCCAGTGACGTCGCATTTACTTTGTCGATGGCACATTAACAAAGATGTGGAGGCTCGGGTCACTGATATGTTCAAAAACAAGAGGATCGGTGCGAGTTTCAAAAACGACAAATGGAAACGTATCATGGATGCTGCAACCGAGGCGGATTATAATGCTGCTGTAGATACAATGAAGGCTCGGTGGGAAAGTTATCCGACAGTGATTAGTTATGTTGAGAGAACATGGCTTTGTCATAAAACGAAATTTGTGACATTTTGGACGAACCAAGTTCTTCACTTAGGTAACACGAGTACTTGCAGAGTTGAGAGCCAACATTCGGCCGTGAAGATGTGGTTTGAATCTTTGACAGGTTCGTTGTTATTATGTTGTAGTTGAAGTATTTACTTCGTTTTAGTTATTTTAATTATAAATATAATGGTTTTTTATAATTTTAATCAACGGCAGGTTCTTTGGATACCGTATGGGCCCGAGTACATTATCATATTGGTAATCAGATCATTGCAATTCGTAATGGTTTGGAGGCGTCTAGGTCGAAGATTGGTGAGAAGTACAAACAATTTCCACTGTCACGGCAAGGTGTCTCAGTATTGTTTGAAAGTTCTCGATGACGAGACGAGAAGGATGAGGAAGCTGAGTTATCAAGTGTATGAGCGTCGTGGATGTGCAATGCGTCTGACCCACGGTTTGCCATGTGCTTGCCAGATACATGATTTGCTAGTTGCCAAACAGGCTTGTATATAAAGCAAATTCATCTGTTCTGGAAGACCTTGGTTATCGGTGATGGTGTTGATGTACCGGTGTTCGTTAACGACTCGACCGAGGAAGCTGCACATTTTCGTTCCCTGGTTGATGAGGTCATTGGTAGTGATCCTGCTGTACTTCAAAATGTATCTCGCATCATTGAGGAGGTATTGCATCCGGATCATTCAAACCTTGAAGATCCATATGTAAACCACAACGTTCGAGGTCAACGAAGGAACAATGATACAAGACGAGATCCTTGTTATTTCGAACATGTTAACCGTCGAAACACTCAACGTGGTGCACGGAAAACAGGTACAACTGGCTATTGTGGTTTAAACGTATTTCATCTTGTAGCTTATTAATAACTGAACATTAATTTTGTGCAGAAGCAAAAGATCCATGTGACATCCGCCACTTCAGGTATTTGCACTTGCTTCCAGGACCGATGTTGCCTTACATCCCGGCATGGAAGGATGTCATTGGTGATGGTAACTGTGGCTTTCGTTGTATGGCCGACTTCTTCTTCGGTGATCAAGCACAATGGTTTGACGCTCGGGAAATAATAGCAAACGAGGTCGCCGCTCATCCATTCCTATACGAAAGGATTTACGGGATTGGAAGGGTTTGGATGAATGTGGAACGTATTCGATGGGATGGTGGGGCGGTTGATTCACGGCATTGGATGGTTGCAATTCAAGATTTATTTCCTATTGTTACTTGGTTCAACGCAAGGGTTATTATTCTTGGTGTAGGCACCGTACCAACCTGCTACTACCCATGCCTCGCGATCTTACCGTTGCGGGCACGAAGCACGGTCAGCCGGTCAGGGCACCCGACCGAGAGTTTGTGATCGTTATAGTTGGGGGGGGGCCACATTTCATCCGTATTGACCTTGCAGAAAATTCACCTCTTCCCCTGATTGCAGGATGGTGGACCGAGCACCACGAGCCAAGTGTTGACAGATTGGATCAGCAATATGAAGTTAGAAGGAACATGTGGGATGTATTAATTAGGCAGTGAACTCATTTATGTACTTTGACTTAGGTTGAACAGTTGTAGCTATGTAATATAAATCAATAAAAATAATTAAATAAAGTTTCAACAAAACCAAATATTAAATAAGTCTCCAGTTCTTAAATTACATGCCGAATACAAAGTACTGTAAAACAATGACTATCAGCTAATATAAAACTAAAAGACAAGTAATTCACAACCCCATCATCGCCTTCCAGTCAACTATCAGCTGCTCAGTCATTGCCCTTGTTTCATGCGACATGGTGGGATACTCATCCAGTGCTCTTCGGTGAATCTCCAAGGACCGACCCATCCACTGCAAATAAGAGAACAACATATTAATTATAGAAATTACAATTTGTTTAAGTGGTATTTATAGTATAATAAAACACAACTACTTACATAGTCCGTGTTAGTCCTCTCAGGTAGTCTGGTACTCCCATCTAATGACCCACCAGGAGAAAGACGAGTATGAGAAAATCGGTACAGCCACTGCATGTAACCAGGAGCGGCCGTAGGAGCTCTACCACCAAGTCTGGTGAGGGCACCTAAAACAACACTAAAAGACGAGCCAGGGACAAACCGAGTCCACATCACAGATGTCATCTTGGTCGGAAAGTCAACCCGATGCATCTTCAAGTTCGTCGGTCTCTTAGCCTTCTCAGGCCTGATAATGGCCCTTGGAATGTCCTGCACGAATCCAAGTTGTCGGACCACTCGATAAGGCATGTATGGCTCAATGATGCTACGGTACTGGATACAGCCAATAAATAGAGTGTCTGGCATGCGTCGTGCAGGATCAACTCCGTACGATAGCCAGTTAACCTCATTGTCAGTCAGCTGATCCAATCTAGCACGAAAAGTGAGGAGGCGCTCCATGATCTTGTTGGGGCATCCCGATCCCACATCCCAAGCAGACGCACGAGGAATACTAAGCTCCCTCGTCAAGGTACCCTGCTGAGGCCGGAAGCACGGAAAGTACTCGTAGATCCACGCCTGTAGAAGCGTGAGACAACCAGCGATTGAATCGACATCTTTTCTTGATGACGTACCTAACTGGCGATATAGATATGCTAGAGCAGATGAACCCCAAGAGAACTCATTGATTGGAAGATCATCAACAACAAGCTCGTTGAGGAAGGACGGATGAGTACAATACCACTCTTGTCCAAAAACAGACATCCGCCCAGTACTAACCACATGTAGGCACCGTAATGGACACCGAAGGGCCTCATCTGCGCCTCCAAGGTCGAGTCCATAATCCTCTCGGTCAGCACCCCACTATCCTGCCAAATGGTTTTCGTACCGCACTTCTCATTTAGCTCTTCCGCAGTAATGTCCATGGTAATCGAGCACGCGTCGCGTATGGCATCCGTGCTAGGAGTAGTGAAAACCATGGAACCATCAACACGAAGCCCAAGAATATGGTACACATCGTGCAGCATGATCGTGATCTCCCAAAATGGCATATGAAACGTGTTCGTATCTGGCTGCCTTCTCTCAACAAATGCAGAAATCAACGACCAGTCAAAACGCCTAAACATGATCTCGGGTAAGTGAGACAGACCACTACCATCAATCAATTCCAAGTGCTCCTGTGCAAGACGACCTTGCCAGGTAACCAATGCAGAACACAACTGTGTCCTGCTCAAACAGCGCAAAACATTACGCTCCTGCCCGCCCCATATATATGCAGCCACGTGACCACCAAAACTAGGGATAACAGTACCATCCTCAAGACCATCTGGCATCGGCTGTTGCACTACCCATGTCTCTGCTGAGCTGGTGGAAGGCCGACTCGCTTGAATGCTACTAACAAATCTCCCATGCTGACCCCTATGCATCGTATGATAATCCTAAGGGTCATACTCTTCATCTCGATCAGCCTGACTTGCCCGCTCTTCGTCCTCATCGTCAGATGAAGGCACTCCACCCGATGAGTACATGGGGAGGCTCCCTTGCGACTGATGCTCCCCTGACCAAGTACCAGGAGACCCATATTGCTGCTCATGATGATACAGTGCCCCCGTATTTACCGAACGACCCGACTCCCTCCTAACAGACGCATTTAAATGTCTTGATATTACATGCCAAGCACCCGAACCCTCAATCTACATTAAATAAGTACAAAATCAAATATCAGTAATAATTACAAATATAACTATGATATTAAAGTTGAACAACTAATATTCAAATTCAAAAAAATAAACAATATTACAATAATAACAATATTAATAACAATAACAATAATAATGGTAATAATACTAATAACAACAACAATAATAATAATATTCCCAACAACGATAATAATAATAACACCAATAATTATAGTAATAGTAATATTGCTACTAATAATAACAATCCTAATACTAATAACATTACTAATAATAATAATTTTAATCGGTTATTAAAAAAATATTAATCACGAAAAAAAAAAATTTACAATAATAACAATATTAACAACAACAACAACAACAACAACAACAACAACAACAATAATAATAATAATAATAAACCGCAAATTTCACAACATACTACTAACAACATTACAAAACAACAACAACAACAACAACAACAACAACAACAACAACATCAATAATAATGGTAATAATACTAATAACAACAACAACAACAACAACAACAACAACAATGATAATGGTAATAATACTAATAACAACAACAATATTTCCAACAACGATAATAATAATAGCACCAATAATTATAGTAATAGTAATATTGCTACTAATAATAACAATCCTAACTAATAACATTACTAATAATAATAATCTTAATCGGTTATTTTAAAAATATTAGTCAAGAAAAAAAATATATATATTAAGCACGAAAAAATAAACATAACATTAACCACGAGAAAAAAAATATATTAAGCACGAAAAAAAAAACATACTAATCACGAAAAAAAAATTAGGAATAATTTTAATCAGTCATTTAAAAAATATTAATCACGACTACAAAAATAATATTAAACACAAAAAGCAAAAAACAAAAAATTAATCAAGAAAAAAAAAAATCGGATTTTGGACATCCAGAAATTTCAGGCGGATGTCCCAAAATTTCCGAAACTTTTTTTTTTTTACAAATTAACGAACAAACACAATCACATACCTGCTCGTCGCCTCCCACGCCTCCGCCACGACCGCCTAAAGTCAGCCTTATTCGCCTCCGGTCCGCCATTGGATTACCCTCCTTGGATTGGTGGTGGTCGTTGTTCTTTTTCTTTTTTATTTTCTGTTTTTTTTTTTTTTTTTTTTTTTTTTGGATTTTCAGATTTTTATTTTCCCAAATTTTCTGTTTTTTTAATTTTTGAAGAGAATTTTAATTTTAAGAGAGAGAAGTACGAGCATGAAATGTGTTGTAAGTGTCGTGAGTATTTATATACGAGGGGCAAATACGGAATTTCATGAAAAAAATGCGAGCGACGGGTTGTAATTTGGGAGTGATGTTTAACAACACCCTTTTTTGGGTATGCTAGGTAGAGCCGTATAGAGATTAGGGTGAAAGGAAAACGAATTATTCTAGCCTTGTATGCGATCAACGATAATTAGTACGGAGTAATACACAAATTCTTATACGTGGCTGGCCACACCGTGTGGTCAGTCATTATAGGAGGTTAATTCGTTAGTGTTATAGAGGTTACTTGGTCAGTGTTATAGGATTACTCGGTTAGTGATGTAGGGGTTACTCGGTCAGTTTTACAGGGGTTACTAGGTCAATGTTATAAGGGTTACTTTATTCTTTTATAAATGCCATACACAAGACGGGGTATAAAAATATAAAGACAGGAAAACAATTCTCGTAACAAACAAGATAATGGGCGTGTTTGGTGAAAAGCTAAAACTAATTGTGTTAACTAATTTTGACTAGTTGATTGTATTAATTGATTTGACTAACTTATCTTATTAGCTGATTGTATAAAAGTGTTTGGTAAATGGTTGATTGCTTAAAGCTGATTGATTATGTGAAATGACCGATAAGCTAATTGTGGGGGTTTTAAAATTATATGAGGGTATAAGTGTCATTTCACCATAATAATTGAATAAGCTAATTGAATTTGAAAAAGAGCTTATTTAGTGGAATAAGCTCTTTAAATAAGCTTTCCACCAAACACCTTGTTCGTGTTTGGTGAATAGCTTAAAGCTGAAAGTTGAAGCTGATTATATTAGCTGATTTTGACTAGCTGATTGTATTAACTGATTTGACTAACTTATTTTATTAGCTGATATTATAACGGTGTTTGGTAAATTTTTGATAGCTTAAAGTTGTTTTAGCATGTGAAATTACCAATAAGCTAATTGTGGGGTAGGTAGTTTAGGTAAGATTTTAAATTAAATGGGGGTATAAGTGTCATTTCACCATAAATTAATGAATAAGCTAGTTGAAAAGCTCCTTTCAAAAAGAGTTTATTTAGTGGAATAAGCTCTTTAAATAAGCTTCCCACCAAACACCTTAAAGTAGCTTATTTAATATTCAAAATAAGCTAATGTTGGTCAAATAAGCTAATTTTGCTCAAATAAGCTGTTTACCAAATAAACACAGCCCTTTATGTTAGCTTATTTAATACTTCGTAGTCAATAAGCTAATGTTAGTCAAATAAGCTAGTTTTGCACAATTGAGCTACGGAGTATTTACCAAACACATGATAATTTATTGTGGGATACTCGAGAACTTGAAGAAAACTTTTTAAAAGTTAATATATTGTGCGTGTATATGTACGGTTTGAGTATAATATGGGTCTTAAGGGTTCGTGGGTAGGATATGGGTCTAAAACATAATATCGGACCCTTACCTTACCCAATGATACCTAGAACCATACCCTACCCGTACCCATAAGTAGTGGCAGAGCCACTTTGTGTCCTGGTAGGGCACGTAGCGTACCAACTATTCGTCCTCGGGCACTCTTCTAAAAACCCTGCCTTTCGATCGATACAAAGTTGAGGAGGCCGATCACGAACGCTACTGCCAGCAGCGAGCAAAAGCAGGGTTATTAGATACCTCAGAAAAGCCCGGCCAGAACCACACATGCAAGTTTCCTTCCTAGGCAAAAGCTTGAAGTTTGAATACAGAAAGAGCCATGTTGATAAAATTTAATGACTTTACCAGTCTCTCGCCCTCGTAAGATCATCTTACCCTGTGGTCAACATTCTATTCTTCTTAGTTGTAGGTGCGACGGGAAGATGCGAATTGTGAAAGCCTTCCCACCATGCGAAGTTCAAACCTCACCGGAGAGAGAGAAGCGAATTGAAAACCGGCCTCAAATCTCATCCCTTCGATCCAAAGAAGAGAGGAGGCGATCTTCTGCTCGGATAAAGAAGGATACCATTAAAAGAAAAGAGAGTGACATCTGAATTCACTCAAGACCAATTCCCAAATCCGCCTATCATCGCAGGCATAACCATAAAAAAGATCATTAAAAAAGCGTGAGCCATTATTAAAACATTATAAAGTTGATGATTTCCACCAAGAATTTGGTCGCCGGGTCGTGCTAATTCCATACGAATCAGTACTGAAAAGCATGTGCCCATCACTCCAGCAATGGCACCGAAGATGAAATAGCTGAGAAAGCCTGACTCAAGCCCTTCCTCAACTTGAAAAAAGCCAGCTGAATGTACTGAAACAACCAAGGACCTACTCCTGTTGGTGCGCAAAGACGACATCCAGCAAAAAAGAAGATATCCCCGACTGCGATTTAAAAAAATACGGAGTAGTAAATATTCATTTAAATAGAATACAAAGAGTATGTTAGCTTATTTACTTGGCAAAAAAGTAAATAGTGTTAAAACTTACCGGCCACATAGTGGTTAGAACATTATTTTATCTACCAAAGATTATGGGTTCTAATCCCAAAACCACAAAACCAACATTCTGTTTTATATCAAGTATAAGAATCAGAATCTGTTCCGATACAGGGTATCTTATAACCTATCTTTTAATATATTTTGTAGTTATTTGCAAAGTTATTTCAATAAAAATTGAAGGGTGGTGAATTTATAACTTTTACAACTTGCAAATACAACAAACCAAAAATAATTGTTTAGCAAATTGAATACATATATTTATAACTTTATTTTTATTTATTAAAATTAGACTTTAATTGAAGTATAATTTGGGATTAAGTGATAAATTTATCTAGTTATAGAATACCCTATATGTTCCGGTTTCAAAAATTTGAAAATCTATCAATTTGAACCGGACCCGGTTGCTATAGGTTTTCCATTTTTCTTTTGTATCATTGTATAGGTTTCGATTTCAAAACCTGCGATTTTTAATAGAGTCCGGTTCCTAAAAAGAGTGTACTCATTTTTTGCTCAGCCTAAGTAGAACTTTCTTACTCCGTAGCGGTTTTATTTGTCACGGAGTACGAGACTAGGAGTACCTCCGACTAAAACTACAAAGTGACAATCTAAACGAGCACTTCATCTTCTTCAGGCAGAGTGCAGCAGCAGAATAAGGGACAAATTTGCAGAAACAAAGCGTCGGAAACCAGCTAGCAACTCAACCCATTCAAATGAGCACTTCATCTTCTTCAATCCGAGCATTTGGCGCTGTTCTTCAAAGATTTTCTCCATTAAAATCCCATTCTCTCTCCTCGTCTTCTCTCCATTGTATGTCTCCCCTTTCTTCCTCTCTAATTGCTAAGATTTAACCCCTCTAAAACTCGATTGATCAATCTTGTTTTCTCTCTCTTCAAAATTTTCAGGGAATTGCAAGATATGGAGAAGTTTTTCATCATCAAGTTTATGGGGTTCACAATTACTACCCCATGATTTATCTCGTCAATGTGATTATCCTAGTGCTTCTGTCAGAACGATTTGGAGTTCCTCTCCTCTTTGCATGGGTAGACGCTCGTCCAAAATTGCTACTAGAAAGGTATTTACTTTGCTAATCTTTAGTTTTTGCAATTACCCAATTTTGATTTTTATGGTTGTATTTTGTGAATTTGTGTCTGGTTGAAATGTGATCGAAATCTTTCTTGTGTTTTGTGTTTTAATACATGGGTTATGTGTATTTCTTATCAATGTGCTTAATTGATTGACATTTGGTGTTGTGTTTAGATTTTGATGTGGTTGCACACTAGATGTTCGATGAAATGCTTGATAGAGATTTGGGTCTCAGATTCCAAAGACATTGCTTTAAAAGGCTTCTAATATTTGGAATGCTTTATGAATTGAGTTGGTCTATGTTACTCTTATGGATGTTTTTGTAGTGCATTACATTTAAGAAGAAATAGATAAGTAAAATTAGGTAGGGTTTTTTCACTTGAATGTTAGGTTTGACAAGATTGAATTTGGAACCATTTTGCTTTATTAGCTTTGGATTATGCATGCATTTTCACTGATTTAGAGCATTGATTCAAATTCACTGACTAAATTAACCCCACGGGACCTTTAATTGTTGGTTTGTAAGAAAATTCTACTTTGTTTACATCCTTAGTGTGGCTTGAGCTTGAAAAGTATTATTCTGTTATCTTCTATTCTTCTTAAGTGTAGAAATGGAAGTTTTGCAGGGGGCTCAAGATCTAAAGAAGGCAAAGCTGTATGCAAAGATCGGCAAAGAAGTTGTATCTGCGTAAGTGATCCAAAATCCTCACTCATGTTTATAGTTAGCTATAATAAGAAGGCATCTCAATCACTTTTGTAAAGAGAATAGGTATCACTTAGCCTACGTTTAGTTTACCTTATTGTTGCTTCTCTGATTTGATCTAAATGTATTTTATTATCTGATTTGACTAAACTTTGACTTTATATGTACACTAATCTATAAGGACAAAGTACACCAAATGAGGTCTTATTAGTTTTATAATAATGTTTATTTCCAAATATGTAAATTTCATAATTGTTCTCATTACAAAACTAAAGATACTTAATGATAAAAAAAAATAAAAAAAATAAAAATCCCAAATATAAGATTTTTTTTTTTTTTTTGTTTTTTTTCTTCCTCTGATGTGATTATTGTGATATGAAATAAGTAATTTGGTAATGAAATTAGATGACCTAAACATAACCTAAGTGAGTGTGAAGCAAGCTTAATTTGGGACGATAAACTATTTGCTCTAAAATGATGCATGCTTTTGTAGTGTCACCTTTTTCCCTGTCTTGATTATGAAGTCTTTTCTTTCCATTCTGTCTTTAATGTTTTCTGTAAGCGGCATATAGCATAATGTGAAAGAGTAATTGCAGTAAGTTGACAAATTTTGTAGTGTGAAGAAAGGAGGTCCAAATCCTGCATCCAATACAGCTTTGGCTGCTGTGTTCGAAAAAGGCCAAGGAGCTTGATGTCCCAAAGGAGATTGTTGAGCGCAACATTAAGAAAGCTTCTGAGAAGGGACAGGAGGCCTTTATTGAGAAAGTCTATGAGGTTTTGGTTCATATGCTATCATCTGAAAATGCGTTTGTTCAAATTCTCCTTTTACATTTTGGTTATCATTGAACTTGTTGCTGAGCTTTCATTGGTCTTCACTTGTATTAGGTGTATGGATATGGTGGGGTTGGCTTTGTTGTTGAGGTTTCAACTGACAAGGTAAACAGATCAGTGGCTGCTGTTAGGGAGGTGGTGAGGGACTGTGGTGGCAAGATGGCTGATTCTGGTTCTGTTGTATTTAGGTTCAAACGTGCTCGTGTTGTAAATGTGAAAATTAGTGATGCTGACAAAGACCAGCTTCTCGGAATTGCCTTGGATGCTGGTGCTGAGGATGTGATTGAACCTTCAGACAATGAAGACGACTCTGAAGAAGATCAGGCAGAGAGGTAATGTAGAAATTTTATCTCTATGGATGGTTTGTTACCCGTGAGTTGTATTTGGCTTATGAAATTCCTTGTATTATTATCTTGTTTTTCGATTCATTCTGAGTAAGGAACTGTTTGGTGTATTTTGGAAGTGCAATTTATGCAATTTCCTTATGCCTCCTCACAGTTTGCAATTTTCACTCCTCTGAGCTCCTGTTCTTTAATTCTTTTCCCAAGAGCAGGTACTATAAAATTGTATGTTCAGCAGAAAATTACGCTTCTATACTCTCAAAGCTTCGTGATGAAGGAATTAATTTCGAGCCCGATAATGGATACGAGCTACTTCCAGTTGCCCCTATTGAGGTACAGTATTAGTTTATAGTAAGTTAATGCCCTATAAAAAGCATTGTTTTTAGTTAAATTAAGTCTCCGTGATCGTACGATACTTCCTCAGTTCCCTTTTGTTGCCTTAGAAAATGTGGAGGAATATCTGATATCTAATATGATGCCTATATTGCATTAAATACTGTGTTTCAGCTTTGCCTCACGTGTATCACTGTTCTCTGATTTTAAGATAGGAGTATTCATGTGTCTGTGATTCTTATCTCACATATATTTTGTTGAAATTAGAAATTGTGATGAGGTAACCACATGGTTTATTTTTTCACATGTCCCTTGGACAAATTGTTTTAGCCAATCATGCACAACTTGCATTGAAGACTGCCCACATGAGAATGTCCACTCAGAATTGTTTGAGGGTGTTGCTTCAATATGTAATAAACTAACCTAAGGAGGGGCAATATGGGTAGTCTAGTATTATTAGGTTAATAGTCTTTAGCCTTGTATAAATACAGAGCGAGGGGAAAGGAAAAGGCAGGCAGTATTTGGAATGAATCATTTTGAGAGTTGTGACCTCAAGTCACTATTAGGAGAGTAGTAGCCTCAAACTAATTTGGAGATTTGCAACCTAAAGTTGCTACTGTAATTTGTAAAAGTCAATCTTTTTAATCAAAGAATCAATCTTTTTCTCTATATTTTCCTGTTATTTTGTTTGAGTAATTTAGCAGTATTCAGTCTATTACACAATACTATGGATCTGTATCTACATGTATAAATAATTACCATGATTCACCCATCTGCTTGGATATGGTGTTGGATTGAGGTGCTTCTTACATTGTTTGTTGCTGTGCTCTGATTTCTGGATAGGAATATTTGAAAGGATGCCATTTTTCCAAATCTTAATGTTGTTTTGCTGAAAATAGAAAATTTGGTGTGGAAAATGAAATTTTTAACACATCATTTCCTGGACAACTTGTCTTAGTCATGATGCCAACTCAGAATCATTTGAGGGTGTAGCTTCAATACTCTACATCTGTATCTATATGATATGCATTGTTAACAAGAGTGTGGGATTGGAATGCTTTTCACATAGATGCATCGAAAGAAAGTGCAATTGCAAAAGTGTGTAATTTTTTGAAAAGTAAATATTAGGATCTCCTCCTTCCTTCTTGTATTTGACTTCTGCTCACTAAATCTCACTGTTTGAAGCACTTTTAGGAGCTTTGGGGCCAATGAATGAAGGTGATTAGAAAACCTCTTTTATCAGCAGTAACTTGTGCAGATGGGCCTATATATATAAGATTCAAACAGCTCCTTTGTGATGGTTATAGGTGAAAGGGACAATAACTCTCATGCTTTTAGTTTTAGAAATGGCATGATACAAAAACTCCATATTGGCTGCTAGCCAAAAAGAAGACAAAGATCATTTTCTGCCCAGCACTAGGCTGCATCTGGTGAAGTTAAGTATATTATATGCATGCCAATGGTAAATTAATGTAGTCCAATGGCTACGTTTGTGTTAATGTTCTGTTCTATTAATAAAGAAGTGGCCTGGACAACCTGGTAAATGGCAGGAAAAGAAAGGTGGCCTTCAAGTTGGTTAGAATTGGTTGGTAAGAAGCAGAATAACCCATTTCTTTGTTCTCTGTGGTTCTAACGTTTGCAAACAGGGGAGGAGGCCTTTGTCTTGTGATTGTTTGGCTAGGGGTTGGGATGAATGGGCTACATATGAGTGGAAGGACCCTGATATTTTATACATTTCCTAATTTAATTGATTGGAAGCTGTGCTCTAAGAATTCTCCTTTTGTGGTTGTCTATGAAGCAAAGGAGGCGTCTGTTGTTCCCCCCATTATCCTGAACAACTGAAGGGAGACCTTTTAAATTCAGTGTGGGCACCTGCCTTCTTTGTTCATCTTTTATCTCTATCCTTTCTTATGTATCTAATCATTTGTGTATTCCTTATGACATAATCCCATTTAAGAATCACGAGGGTCTGGCGAGGTCAATAGGAGTATAACTCTAATAAGTCAAGCCTGTCAGAGCGACTGTTTCCACCTTGGAAATGCTATCCTAGTTTTGCAATCAAGGATTAGAGAATTGGACGAAAATGAACCTAACGAGGAACTTTGTTTAGGAAGACATGCTCCTTTTTGATAATTTCACTCTTCAAATTGGGACGTGACCAGAAGCATTCTATGTTTAGTTATTTTTAGTTGTGTACTGGAATGTTAACTCTCTTCACACTAGTCTTTTCTCATTTGTCCAGAACTTTGGCTTCACTAAGAATATTTGGCCAGTTGACTCTGTTCTCTTATGTTAATACGTTGGACAAATAAGGCTGTTCACGCTGAAAAGACTGTACCACTTTAGAGTCTGTAATTGAAGGTAGATAATTTTGCTATAAGAAACTTGTTGCGTAACAGACTGCATATGCTGGAGGCCAACTAAAGTGATGCTTTCAGTGGAATCACCCATTGTGAAAATGGTTCATACAATGTATCCAAGTAATGCCTAAGTTTATGCCTATTAGTCTATGGGCAATTGGTAAGAAAAAATTGAAAGGGAGCTAGTGATGTTTGTCTCCAATTCATATGGTGCTAGAATTGGAAAGTAAGCTAATTTGGAGGAGCACAGTTTATCCTAGGTGTCTCTTTTCACCTATAGTTTCTCTGTACATTTTTGGTAATTAAAACAGAGTAATTTACTATAGTATTGAAATTTATTGACGAGTCGTAGTTTTCAATGGAAGAATTCAGCTGCAAGCACTGATGTCTGCCACAGAAAACGATAAGGATAATGTAGATAATTTTTCTAATTATTCTGGGGTTGAATCATTAGGATACATACAAAGTATACAATCTTTTATAGCTATTTCTAGAGTATTGAAAGGCTGTAAGCTGGTTCAGGGAGATCAATCTTTCTGAAGTTTTATGTGAACTTGAGTCTAAGACATATACATTGCTTTTTGCTATAATCATCATTTATCCGTTGATAGCACATACCTAATAAGTAAGAATTCCTCAGTACAATAGATGCTTTGATTTGGCTGAAGTCAACTTTATCACAGTATGATCAGAAAGGCACTACCTCATTCTGTTCTGTAAGCATGATTGTTTTCTCTCATTCTGTTACTCTTCTTGTAATGGCCCGAAGTAGAAAAGGAGTGAATGTAGTGTTTCAATCATGTTATCTTGTCAGTTTCAGGAAGCAATTTTTTGAAACCCCTTATCTCATACGTATGTTTCTGTGAGCAGGCAGATGATGAAGCTATGGAATTGAACAAGGAGCTGATGTCTAAATTGCTCGAACTTGATGACGTTGATGCTGTATATACCGACCAGAAATAAGGATCAAGATTCTCTCTGAAGTCAGTAATTAGACGATCCATCATCGAGTTACCAGAGAAAATAATCATTTCTCGCAAATAAACTATTGGCTGGAGAAGTAGCCTCCTTCATACACTCGCTCCGTCTGTGGAGTTAACATATATATTGGCTGCCAAACTTTGCCATCTATGGCTTTTACACTCCTGATTCAAGAAAGATTGGATTTGAGAAATTAACCTAGTTTCTTTTTGGCAAAATGTCAATGTATCAATCCCACAATTTTGTACTACTAAATTTTGTATAGTAGACAGGATACATTTTGTACACATTCGTTGATATTTTGAATACATTCGTTGATTATAATTAAATTGTTTCCTTTTTTCTTTTTAAATCAAATGTATGGTGATGGGTGTTGTTTAGCGTTTCAGAACTTTATAAAGGGTGTAATTACCTGGAACTTAGGTCTGAGAATGTATATATAAACCAGTTCTGTCACTGCTATTCAAAGTACTGAACTACTGAATGGGAAAATGCCTTTTTTAAGGGCTGGCAAACTGTAATAACACTCTTGTTAAGTTAATCCTGAGGATAGCAATTTTCTATGTACTACTAGGCGTATTTTGTACATGGTATAACCAAGGAAGATGAAGATGCTCCTTGACAGCTTGAGGATTGGTAAAACTACGTTGATCCAATTCACCACACGACTTTACATATGGTACACCACCGTGGAGGAGGAAGGGATTTAATCATGCTTTTGGGGCTCAAACTCAAATAGATCAGATATACTTCAATTGACTTTTATTTTTGATGATGATCTGAACAACTTAAGTTCAGATGAAAACTTAACAGAAACAGATTACAGATACAGGAGGCAGTCTATATACTTAACTTCAGATGAAAAACATACCCCAAAAACCTATGAAATGTAAGCATAAAATTATAGATTGAGTAACAAAGTACATACAGAAGGACAAACTATATGCATGAAGCTACTACCTTATACTTCGTATAATTTTTTTTTGTTTTTTTTGACTGGTATTACCTTACACGTACTATAACTTATTTACATGTAAACGTATGTACATTGACACATTGTACAAACATGTATATAGTTGAAGACTAACTTCCAAAAAATGACATAAGATATAATTATAACGTGCAAGTCCATATCGTTGATTGGCCTCCTAGCGCGAAGCAAATGATAGAATTTTATTGGAGGGATATTCATCGGTGATAGGCTCGAACTCGTACCATAACAGTCTTGTTGTTGTTCTTCTTAGGCTTGGAGGCGAGTACGTAGCTTGTAGCTAGCCATCTAGAATATGTTAAAAGGAAAACTAATCCATAGGAATCCAACATCCATGCAAACCATAAGGAAGACCATAAGAAAATTTGGCTCGTGCAATCTCTTCAAAGGTCGAGCCATCAAGAAGCAATGCATATCCTTCTCCATTTTTTCCACTGACCACTGATATCACCACTCCTGAAAAATTCAGCCACATTACCAGTTTATGGTGAATTTTAAGTTACATAAACTTTAAAGGCTTACTACGTTATATACAAAATCACTCGTAAAGTCATTTGGATGGGTATATATATAAAGCTATACGTTTCAAGTATAAGTTTTATCTATCAGGAAATATAAACAATGATTCGGCTGATACTATGAAATTTCAATTATCATGGATCACTTTAGGTTCATAGGGATCCCAAACTCGTAAATATAGTAATGTGACACGAAATTTAATCCTATCTTCTAGAGTTCCAATAATAAAATTTTACTAGCTAGTTAAAATGTAAAATACTTCGTAGTTGATATTCACTCGTCTTTTTGTATAGGAAGGATGAATGAAATTACCATCATCTTCTTCGGTTGCCCCTGGGCGTGGCACGAAGTAAGGTTCAGAAGGCACAACACCCTCTTCATACCAATTTTTTGCCTTCTTCTCAATCAAATCAACCTGCACCATCATATATCAAATTCGTTAGGCTATATAAAATGTGACTAACACATGGAAAGTTGGAAGCGTAATACAATAGCTAAAAACAATTAATCTGCTGACTTATTAACAAATTAATTAAAACCATTAAATAAATTGTGATTGGCCAACCCATATCTACACAAATTTTCTTTAGGCTTACGTTTACTACACTTGCAAAGTTGCAAATATTATTTAATTTTTTTTTTAAAAAAAAAAGTAACGTAAAGTTTTTATAAAATTAGCACTTTTTCTTACTAAGGTTGATTATGTTTTATTGAATTAGGTTTATTTATTTGTTTTATTATTGGTGAAAATCAACAGTGACATGATTGACAATTTGTCATACATGGTCCAACAATTATTTAAATCACTATAGTCAAATAATAAATTGGTGACTAGGCTTCATCTATCTAAACATAATCACACTTCATTTCGTTTATTTGATAGTGTATGCCCTCGCCACCATTTATAAGTACACCTAACTCATATATTGTACATGTAGTGCACGAATTGATACTTGCATATATATAATTAACTTCATATTTGATATATAGGCGGTAATATGCATAGTATATATGGATTTCATACCTTAGTTAGAGTGTTGGGGAAGTTACAAGGGCGACGAGCTCCACAAGCGTAAGCATAACGATATTTTTTGCCCAAGTAAGAAGGGTTAATACTACACATATCCATGCCTCGCCCATGCTCCTCTGGGTCCAATGCTGCCTCTAGCTTCCCATATGGCATCCCATTCATTGGAATTATGAAACGACCAACCCTGCATCATTATTATCATCATTTTATTTATATGAAAATATATTCTAGATATCATATATATTATAAGTCATCTCATGCTTAATATCTAAGAAACAATAAAAGTTCAACTTGTTATTACTACTTATATCTAAAGTATGTGACTTTAAGTCTATATGTAGTTTAGTAAACATTCCATATTATATTGAATTAGTAAAACTTTGATATTAGATTTTTTTTTTGTGAATCTCATATATTTAAGCTAATCATTAAAATCATCTTCAAATGCTAGCTTAAAGTCGGTAAAAATTTATAGGGTTGTTTAGTATTTAAACATGAAATTGTAATGTTGTCGTAACCCTCATAATACAATTACTACGTTACAATAATGCAATGTAATATGTAAATGTGTAAATATGTAATATTAGTGTGTGTGCTTATAATTGTAATATAATACCTTGCACTTGGAAGTACATCTTGACCTAGGAAGGAGCGTAAATTCTTGAGCCTTAGCTTATCAAGGATAGAAGTATCTGCATTGTGTTCACAACAGTCTGCAATGATTGCGGTTACGTTGCCTTCTTCATCTGTTTCCTCATATGCGTTTATGAAATGAAATGTCAAGAACAAGGGCACTTCAACAGTAGCCACCTACAAATATCATGTAAAATATTAAGAATGAGTTGATCCCTAGCTATTTATCATCATTTGATGTTTAATTATACATTTAACTATATACAAAGTTAATTAGAAAGGCAAAGAAAGAATCAATTTTTAGATTTTATTATTATTATTATTATTATTATTATTATTATTATTATTATTATTATTATTATTATTATTATTATTATTTACAATATAGAGAGCCGTAAAGACAAAGTAGTAACGTAGTATGTGTGGTTGCAGGGTTTAGACAAGTGAAAATCAGTATATTGATATATCTATCTTTATGCAATTGTGATTTTGAAGGTTAAACTTCATCGGCTGTAACTTTTTAAAAAAAATGTATAATACTACGATTTATGTTACTATGGAGTATGGGGTATTATTTATGGCCTGGCCGTATAAGATATTTTAACTTGAATACATAGACTTATACAAGTCAATTCAATTTGATCGTGAAATAGTATAAGAGGAGAGTAGTTTATGTTAGTGCATACCAAGCTTCCGCTGAATCTACACATAACATGCACAAATGCTTTAGATTGAGGGTGCCACTCAAACTTGTAAAGTGGGGTAGGCTCAGCCCTTAACAAATTCTTTACACAGTATCTTAAGGGCATCTCCGGCACAATTATGTAATTCTCAGTGACCGGAAAAGAGTGGACCCACCCTGGGGTGGGCCCACCGCGACAGTTGATTCTCCCAATCACTCGCCGTCCATTTGATCCTGCTTTCATCCTGACCGCTAGATAACCAGGGTTGACCAAATCTGGGAGCAAAGTCAACATCTCATCTTTTGTTACAATAGGATGAGCTGAATGCAAAAGTAGCCTTTGAAAGGGGTCATCAAACTCTAATTTCCCCAACGTTTCCAATGTGTTAGGGTCAATTATTATTGACCCTTTTTGTGTCTCTGTTAGGCAAACTACTCGTCCATCTCCAAGTTTCACCACTCCTACATATACACATGCATACATATCAGAAAACTTAAAACATACATGATTATATATATTTCGTAATTATCACATTATGTATGTCAATTATTTGTACCAATTCATCTGTTGTATATTGTATGTGCTTCTATTCACTATTACGTCTTTCTTATTAGTTTTACGAAATCACATAACAAAATGCATGAAAAAATAAGCCTATATCTTATATTTGTATGAGAATTGATTCACTTAAAGTTTGATTTTGGCACTTGTCAACAAAAGATGTGTTATACATTGATGATCAAATTTAGGTCATCAATAATATACCACCATATAATACGTAAGTCATATTGACGCATACATGAATATATATAATAAGAACATGACTAGTTATTATTATTAAATTAAGCTAAGTAAACTTGTACTGAAGTATAATAGTGTTTTCCATTAAGAGGACATGTAATTATGAAGGGTTATATTTAATAACAAATTTACCTGTATTAGCATTATCAGTAAGTGAAGCACCAGAGAATAGATTGGCCAATTCACCAATGTAAGCTAGAAAATTCTTGGGTTTAGGAGTCTCAGAAAACTCCCTATAACAAATTTTATTGTTCTTCCTTGCCGCCTTATATGCCTCTGATTCAAGTTGCCGGTGACCAGCAACCAGCCTTCCGTTCTCGAAGTGAAGTTTGACAAGGGTGGCATAGCCATCAAAGAGGTGCCGGAATTGGTGGTCTCCCATATGCCATAAGCCAGGACCATTCCTTAGATATGTTCCACGCTGCATTCAACATGCATTATTATTGGTTTTTGATGTATGATTTTTCATTAAGGTGCAATAGAATATGTATTAAGAGTATCATTAATATATATGTAACTTTAATTATGGTTGTTTCAATGGGCTTTAATAGACAACTTTCATCTAAATAGCAGGCATAATGATTAGGTTGACGGCTATATTTAAAAAGTGCCTTTTCATTCGTAAACCTAAGTGGTGGGAATTTCATTCACTACTTGTATAGTTGTATGTGTAAAAAAAGTGTTATATTTCACGATAAAAGAACAGTTGGAAGGTGTATATAAAAAAAGTAGAGTATAAGTTTAATGAGTTATTTCAATTCTATTCAATTAATTTTGAGACAAAATCTTAAATTTTCTATGTGGTTATCAATCATATTCTATTAAACTACAAGTTAAGCAGAATGCTTAAAAGTCGAAATGATTTAACTTAACCTAGCATATTGAAATAACGATAAATATTTGGCCATTATTTGTACAAGTTATACTTTGCAATGCAATAGTGTTAAATATAGTCGTCCATATGATGATGATATACACGAACACTTAGTTAAATTCAAATAAGAAATGATGGAGAAGTATTTTATTAAGCTTATATTATAATATAGTATGTACATACCAGCCATGAGGGTATTTCACCTTCAACAAGAAGCTCTCCTTCCCATCTTTCTTGTCTAATGCTTGTCCAAGCAGTTAGTTTGCCACCATTCTTTGTTTCTTCTTTTTTCGGCGTAGGTGGAGGAGGAGGAGGAGCAACAACAGGAGGCAATCTAGTGGCCACATGAGTGGCCACCAAGTTGATGTTTTCGCCTTTGCTAGTGCTTAAACTTTGGCTAGTACCAAACGACAATGAATTTCGATTATTCGAATCACATTTTATAGAAGATTTTGATGCATTTGATGAGTTAGGAAAACCATAATTTTTAGTTGGTGTATGAAATGAAAGGGATGAAGACATGATCTATAGAGTGATAAAGAAAGATAATAATATTTGAGGTTTTTGAGAAACTAAGCAAGTTTTGTTTAATTAAGAGATGTTATTAATTATGTAATTAGGAGGTTGATATTAGGAGTATTTATAGAGGTGTAATGTTACTATTTCAATATATATGCATCTTAGAAGGGAGATCTTATGATGGTGGGAAATGAGGGGAATAATCATACTAGGGAATCATGTTATGTTGACATCTTTGACGAGTGGGAAATTCTCTTCGGCGCTTTGCACTAGAACTAGAAGCCAAGGTTTTATTATTGTTTGATATTTTTTCTGTTTTTTTCATTATTATTATTTTAAAATGTTTAAAGTTGAGTTGAGTGGATTACGAGTTTGATGACACACTTTTCAAGTTGTATCACTTACATTTGAATTCAATTCAATTTTAGAGTTCGAAATTTCAAGTATAGCTTAGTAAAACTAACTTGAATTGGAGGTCGAAAATTGTATACAAGTGTCGATTTTATGTTACAAAGAGCTAAACGAATTTACCTCCTAAACACATTAAGCTATGAATGATTGATATTTGTAATTGATAGAATGAGTCAAATTAAACAATATATATATTTTCTTTAATAAAAATGTAATTTACATTGAAAGTTGCTATGGATTAATGTCTTAGAAATTACTTAGGGGTCGTTTGGTTCACTGTAATGGGGAAAGGGAATGGGAATGATTCCCTTTGTAAGTGTTTGTTTAGCATCTTTTGTCATTCTCATTCTCCATTTTTATTTTTGGGTTTACCCAAAATTGTCCTAAACTCATTCCCCACCCCCCCCCACAGCCTTTTGCATTCTCTTTCTTTCTCATTCCTCCTCATTCCCTCCCACGCATCTGCCTTCAGACTCAACCCTAACCTGAAGCTTCGAGCTAGCCGCCGCCGCCGTTGTTTCTCCGGTCACCGACAACTCTTACGCAACCTCCGACGACCGCCGTGAAGGTATGTTTGGTTTATGATTTCTCACGCATCCTTATTCTCTCTTTTGTGTTCTTGAATTCGCCTTTTTTTTGGTTGAATTCGTATTTGTTCTACTTGTACTTCATGAATTCGTATTCCATTTGGGATTTATTTTGTTGAATTCGTATTTTTTGTTGAATTTTGTACTTCTGGATTCGTATTCCGTTAGGGTTCTTCGTGTTTTCTATTTTTCTTTCTTTTTTTTAGTAAGCGGCCCCTAATTGGGCATTTAAGGGGTTTACGGCAACACTGGGATTGGCAACCATGTATCTCACCACCACTTTCTCCGTTAATGTTTTAGCATTTACATACTCTACTGAATTTTAGCATTTACATACTCTACTGAATTTTTCAGATCTGAATTCGTGTGATGTGTGTTGTAGTGTGGTGTGTTGAATTCGTATGTTTTGTTGGGCAAGTGTGGTGCAGTGATGTTTGTTGGTGTGACTAATGGTGTATCGATTTGTGTATGATTATATGGTCCTGTTTTGCGTGGGTGTTATGATTTGTGTATGATTTGTGTATGATTATATGGTCTTGAATAGCTGTTTTTCTTTTGTATTAGTAGAGGTTAGCTTGTTTGGTTCATCATTGATGATATATTAGTAGAGGTTAGTTTGTTTGCTTTTATTTTGTTTTGTATTAATATTTAAACTTTTCAATGATATGGTGTTGTTGATGTTCTTTTGTACAGAAAATGGCTCGTATTGGTACTTCTTTGAAAAGGAAGAGAAATTGGGACCACCTTCGTTTCATAATTACTATGATTAATTGTGTTATGTTACTACATTTGTTGGTGTACTCGATAAGAAAAACAATATACAATTCTCAACAACTTAAGTTAGATAAACACACAAGAAGAAAAATGAGATTACACAACTTGAATAGAATGATTATAGAAAGTGACACTTTGTGTAGGAACTATCTTCGTATAAATCGATACACATTCGTTGTACTTTTAGAGATGGTTAGAGATATAGGTGGATTAAATGGAACAAGAAACACATGTTTGGAAGAGATTGTTGCGGGCTTCTTATACACATACATTAGCTCACCATAAGAAAAATAGAATGATGGGTGCACATTTTTATAGAAGTGGTGCGTGAAACTATTAGTAGTCAATTTCATGCTTGTTTGTTAGCAATCTTAAAGTTACATGTTGTTCTTCTTAAGAAACCAACTCCAATACAAGATGATTGCGACGATGAAAGGTGGAAATATTTCAAGGTAAAATAAAATAAAACCAACACTTTAATTTGAAAACAAAACAAAAAGTTAGAAATTATTAGATAATTTAAAGTGATATTGTTTGTTTTGTAGAATTGCTTAGGTGCTTTTGATGGTACAATGATTCTAGTTAATGTTCCTTGTGAAGATCGACCCAAATATCGTACTAGAAAAGGAACCCTTGCTATGAATGTGTTAGAAGTATGCTCACCTGAAATGGAATTTACATATGTCTTACTTGGTTGGGAGGGATCGACACATGATGGTCGTATTCTTCGAGATGCTATTTCTAGGCCTAATGGTTTGAAAGTTCCAAAAGGTAATTTGATTAACGTAGTATACTTTATGTAAGATTGACTTAGAAAGAGAGTGGAATTTAATTGTTTTTTGTTTTATTTGTCAAGGTTGTTATTATTTATGTGATGGAGGATGTACTAATGGAGAAGGATTTCTTGCACCATATAGAGGGCACCTTTATCATCTTAAAGAGTGGAATAGGGGGCCAGACAACCATTAACCGCTGAAGAATATTTCAACTTAAGGTATGCAAAAGCTAGAAATGTGACTAAGAGATGCTTTGGGTTACTCAAGGGAAGATGGAGAATTCTTAGAAGTCCTTCTTGGTTTAGTTTACTAATAAGTCTATTTTATATATATATATTTATTCCCCGTCCCAATGGTCATAATTGTGTTTATTTTTGAGCTCTACGGAGCTACTTTTGTTACTAATATGCGTTTTCTAGTGTTTTCGTAGATTTTGTATCGTTTTATTGGAAATTGCGGATTTGGAGCATTTTCCCGGATTTATTGGAGCCGCTACGAGCATTGGAGTAAGGTCGCATTCATATGACCACATTCCGAAGCCCAGGACTGGTTGGAGTCATCAAATCGGTGATTAAGGGCTCGGCAAAGAAGAAGAGTCCGGGGCAATTGACCATGTATTCTAAACCCAAAGAGGAAATGCGAATTGGGCTAAGAAACGGCCCAATTGAAGAAGTCCAAGTTTGCCAGGGAGCTCGCCCGGCAAGGCAAGCCCTCGCCCAAAGGCGCGCCCGGCAGGGCGAGGAAGAAGGAAGAGAGTAGCTGCTAGCCCGAAGGCGCGCCCGATCGGGCGCATGTTTCTGAGTTCGTTTAGCACTTTTATTCTTCGTTTTAGCTTAGCTTTTCTTAGTTTAATATAAATACGCTTTTGTTAAGCGAGTTTGGGACCTTCTTCTCTCTCTCTCTCTCTCTCTACTTTTCTCATTAGTTTAATTTCTTAGTTTTTAGTTTTAAGCTTTTAGTTAATACTCTTGATCCCTCTCGACACTTTTAGTTTATGCAATTCTTTACTTCCGTCTACTTTGGTAACGATTTCTTCCCTCTTTACTTTCAGTAATTTAATTGCTTTGATTTAATTATGCTTTCTTTAACTGTCTTGCTTAGTTTAGATTTAAATATGTGCAAGTAGTTTTATTTCTAGGGTTGTGGGATCCATAATTATTATGACGGGGTAATTTATTATTGTTGATTGTCAATGTTTTGGTTGATTTCCTATTGATTGATTTAATGCTATGCAATTAGATTTGTGCAGGTTTAATTGTATGAGTTATGCAATATTGATTCGAGATTCGAGAGATGAGAATTGATGTTTAGGCTTAGTTTCAATAGGCAGGTTATTTTATAAATGGTTAGGTCAAGATTCGAGAGATGTGATTTAATACCGGTAGATTAATTCTGTGATTGTAATACGTAGCGAAAGCCCTTTATGATCTGATTAATTTATGCATTGATAATTGATTGTTATGTTTTACCCTGGAATATTATTTATTGGTGAACCCATACCCTAGGACTTTTATTATTGTTTTCCTCCCTTATTCAATTTGCTTTAGTTTAATTATTAGTTTAATTCTCATTAAAATCAATTTGGTTATTTGATAATTTAGATTATTTTAATTAATTAGGAATAGAAAGACTTGTTTCCCTGTGGATTCGACCTACTTCCCTATCTATTTTAGTTAGTGGTTTTAGGAATTACTTTTGATTAGGTGATACGACTTTAGCCTGTCATTTACAAACACATGGTCGAATTGTGCTTGCATGTGCCTTATTACATAACTTGGTAAAATGATACATGCTTTCAGAATTTGATGATGATGACTTGTACGAGGAAAGTAGTGACAGTGATGGTGATGACAGTGATAGTGATGATGATGATATTGAGTATATAACCTCCATTGATGTAACTGATCCTTAGACTAATTTTCAAAATACAATGGCCCAAACTATGTTCAATGATTGGAGGGCTAGAAACCGCAGACTTACTTTGTGATACTATTAAGTTATGGATGTTGTATTTGTTATATTACTTTCTTTTAGATACTTTGTATTGAATATTTTCTTGGTTAATTTCATTTTTATATATGAAATGTTATCTTTGCATGTTATTATGGATCAAATGCTATAGTAAGATGGATGAAAGTAGTGCTAGTGGAGGTGGAAGGGGGAGAAACAAGCGGGTTTGGACTGCTGAAGAAGATAGGGCTCTTATATCAGCATTATCAGAGCTAGTTGTTGATCCTCACTGGAGGTGTGAAAATGGGTTTAGAAGCAGTTACATGGTTAAATTGGAGGAGGTTATCAGTAATGCTCTACCTAGATGTGGTTTGAAGGCTACACCACACATAGATTCTCGACTAAAGACACTTATAGCCAAGTTTAGGGTTATTTCTCAAATGTTAAACACGAGCGGATTTGTTTGGGATGATGAAAGAAAAATGGTTTCTGTTGAAGGAGTTGTTTATGACGAGTACTGTAAGGTATGACAACTTTTTTAAAGTCATTTTAATAATGTTTGAGATAATTGATGATATTGTTATATTTGATTATTATGAGCTGTTTTGTCTTTGGCAGAGTCATCCAAGTTGCAAAAATTTATATGGAGTTTCCTTTCCACACTTTCAAGAACTGCAGAATATATATGGCAAAGACTATGCTACTGGTAAACTAGCTGAAGGTTATGTTGAAGCAATTAACCATTTGGAAAAAGCTGCCCCTTCGCAAGTTACACTTGATTCAAGTGATGATGAGGGAGTTGGTGGTTCTGGCACTGTTAATTTTCCTCCCTCAAAAAAAATCAAGACTGAAAAAACTACAAAAAGAAGGAGAAAAGGTGATGGTGCTGGTAGTTCGAACGAGTTGGCCAGCTTACAAACATTCATGAAAGATATGATGTTCATCATTCCACTATGGCTAATGTAATGGCAAGCACTAATGAACGTGAAAAAGATACACATGAAAGAGAGAAAAAATTAGTGCAGCAGAGTGAACAAGTGTTAGAGGAACTATTCTCTCTCAATTTAGAGGGTGTCACTCCTAAACAAGTGTTTGAAGTTGCTGAAGATCTAGCTTCGAAACCACACAAGCTTATGATATTTTCAAAGTGTCCAGACGCTTTGAAAAGTAGTTATGTTAAGAGTCTTATTAGGGAAAACGGTGATGCTTAAAACTTTTGTCGTGGTTACCTAGTTTGTTTTGAATTAGGTGTTATTAACTTTGGTATGATTAAAACTTTTGTTGTTGTTTTGGAACAGTATTTTGGTCTGATTAAAACTGTCGTGGTCTATGAACAATATTTTGGTATTATTTTCACAAAACATGATATGAAACAGGTCTCTCTTGGAATATTACAGGAAAGTATAAAAGTATATTTTTTCATATTACAGGTAACTATGGAAAATATGAAAATATTTTTTCATATCACTTTTTATCATTTTACAGGTCTATTTTTCCATATTACTAGAAAATTTCCATATTACTAGAAAAAAAAAATTTCCTTATTTTTTTTTGCTTATTATATAAATGGAGGTTATTATATGAAAAAGAAAAAAAAGAAAATTTAAAAATCATGGTTTGATTCCCTAGTTTGAACCAAACAGCCACAAAGGGAATCAATGAATAGTTCATTTCGTTTCTTGGACACAACCAAACAACTAGCCCAAATTAGGGGAATTCTTTTCCTTTCTCCTGCATTCCCTTTCTGCATTCCATTCCGATTCCCCTGTGCGAACCAAACGGCCCCTTAATACTCTTGAAAATATCCTTATTAATATGTTGTTATATAAATAAACAATAATACGAGTATTTTTTTTTCATATATATTGATTGATTTTCAAAAATTGATAATGTTCAACGCTCAAGGATTACCCGGCCTTGTTCGTATTTTTAGTAGGATTAAGCTAATATTTTGAGGGCAAAAGCCAATATAATGAATGCTTTGGGGACGTCTGATAAGAGAGCTAGATAGAAGAAGAAATATTAAATAGAAATAAATATTAATTATGTTGATCGACGTGTGATTTTGATATATATACATTCCATAATTAATTAATCTGTACAATTTTAGGAAATATTGAAAATAAATACACTACTCATACTAATAATTGAATACCTAGGTAGTTCCTCTTTAATTTCTACGACTAAGACTAACACGATTTTTAAACTTTAACTAGTGAGTAGCCCGGGCGTTGCTCTGGGTTGCTACTGTTGTACACGTGCAATCGATAAATTTTTTAAAGGCTTTTAAAACTGTAATCGTCACTGTCAAACTAAAATTGATGAATTATTCTTTGAGTATTTTTTATTTATTTTATTTATTATAATTAAACCTTATGGTTTGCACTTATATAATTTTTTTACATATTAATAACATTGTTGATAATTAGCTTAGATGGTTGAATAGTCATCTTTGTTGTAAGAGGTTGAGGGTTCGATCCTCCTTATTCTTACTTTTTTGTTATGGAGTAATGTTGGTTGCTTGGGTGATGTGGCATTGTTTGAGTGATGATGTGGCGTCATGAGATGTTGGGAAAATGACGTGGCGGAACAAAAAAGGGACTACGTGGCACATCGACGTTCTATGAACGCCTTTTTATATTAGTATAGATTATTGACCCATTCTATACACGAGTTGTACTATATTCACTACCAAAAATTGTCCATATAGAAACGGAATTCTAGCAACAGAATCCAATCCGTTTCTAAATTAGAGACGGAATTAAAAAAATCCTTTTCTAAATTAGAGATGGAATTGAAAATTCGTCACTAATTTAGGGACGGAATTATGAGCGATGGATTTTTAATTCCGTTGCTAATATGAGCGACGAATTTTTAATTCCGTCTCTAAATTATTTTCGAAGTTGGTAAGAGTTTCACTATGTGACTTTGAGGTCACGGGTTTGACTCTTACCAATTGTAATTCTTGAGATTGGGGATTCAAGGAGCCTTACATGCAAAGCTGAGTCGGGTTGACCTGAGTGAGGTTGAACCGAATAGCAGCTATTTTTAGAGACAAAATATTTTTTCCGTTGCTAAATTTAGTGACGACTTTTTTTTTTTGTTCCTGATATGAGCAACGGATTTTTTTTCCGTTGCTGATATGAGCGACAGATTTTTTTTTTTTTTTCGTCTCTAAATCCATTTAGTGACAAGGATACCAACGGAGTGATTCGGTCGATATATCCGTAGCTAGCTATGTCCAGTGACGGATTTTTAGAAATTAGACACGGATTTCACCTGTCGCTAAAAGGCCAAATTTTTGTAGTGATTATACAAGAAATTTTAAAAACACATAAGAGAAAGCGAGCGGTAGTCATTTTACATTGAACATTATTTCGTATGAGTTGGAATCGAATAGGAGTAATATTAGAAAAGGGAGCAAAGCAGTATTAGGTTTTGTTGTAATAATCTAGTGAATAGAAGTAAGAGGTTAGAGGGTTGATGAAACTTGTGACTATAGAGTAAACAAAGAGTAATAACATATATCAGCATAGTTCTACACATGCACTTGCAACTTGCCCTAGATTATTTAAATTTATGAGTAATGTATTAGACTAATAATGTAAAATAATTGACGGGTAAATAGATAATAATGTCAAAGAAGATATTTTTTACACGATTATATGCTTTGATGGACTGTATCGATCATATAACTATTGTCACATTCCTTTAATTATTATACTCAGCAACCGAAGTTAAAATATGTCAATATGTACATTTATGTCTTGTTACAAGGACATGCCATTATATAATTAAAATAGGGACACCTAAACTAGCTATTGAAATAGTTTGAAGCTAAAGAGGCGAACCCATATGTACATGCTCTAAATTAATGAGGAATTTGTCAAAAAAATAAAAATTAATGAGGAATGAAAAAAATAACAAAACATGAATCTATATCATATAGTACCTATAAATCATGTTCGAGAATCAAACTTTTTAAAGAAACAACATCAAAGTCAAATATGACCTATTATAAGTTAATAAAGAGAATGTCAAGAAATCAACTGTTAAATTGTGACACACTTCCAGTATGTGGCTATGTGCAAAATATGTTACTTATAAACGACTAACTCCTAAATCACTAAGGTTAGATATCATGTATGTGGAAACATTATTAGGGAAACCATGTGTAAGAATTTAAGAGTAGTTGGGCAAATTCTTGCAATTAGAAACGTTGATTAGGGCGGTGGTCATGTACTTTTAGCTTGGGAGCCGTTCATAGTGGTGTTTGAGCAAGAGAATATGAAAAATAACATAAATACCATATTGTATACATAAAAACATTGGGCCATCACAACATTGAGAAATATTCTGAAATTTGTGATGGTGGCTCTCCAAATAATTACACCCTTTAATTATATTATGTACTATTCAATTATATATTATTGATTGGCCCCTTTAATTTCTTTAATTTTATTTCCCTCTTAGTTTATTTGTAGTTTATACCCCTTTGGGAAAGTGGGTTCCCCCTAAAATTTCCTATATTTGCTATAAACTATAAGCTATGGTAGTATTACTAACTACTAATTAAATACACTTTGATTAAAAATGTTTTAACTTGGGCCACATGTTTGCCACCTAGTTCAACTTTCATGTGAAGATGTCAAAATGTTTTTCATCAAACCTACTATTATTTTGACTCATGTCAATTTTCTCATCATTCTTGAAATCAGAATATTATTGGAATGAGAATCCAATCCAATGGGCGGGGGAGCCAAGTATTTGTCAATGGTTTCCTAATAATTCTTGCTTCATCATTCTTTTTACTATATAATTACATATGTTGTACTTCATATTTTTCTAAATCGGACTCTAATTTCAATTGATCAAAACTATTCATCAATCTGATATTAATATTAGATTTAATATCTGATTTGAAAATTTCAGATATCATATACCTTTTCGGATATATTATATTTGAAATATCGGTATCTAATACAAATGCCCAAACTTTTAGATATTGTAGTAATTGATGAAAAAAAAAAACCTTCAAAATGAATAGTTTTTAATGGATATCGATTGTATCCAATCTGAAATTTCACAATATTGGATTTTTGATATGTGCTCAGCCCTATTTAGTATTCCTTATTTTCACTTGCTTCATATAGAGTAAAATATTAGTTTTAAAAAGCTTAATTTTGAGCTAAGTTAGTAGTTCATTCATATAATAAGTTAAGTTCAATTCAGGGTCAAATAGAAATATCTAAATTATTCTGATTATGTATTCAGAGTATGAGCTATATTTATTAATACTATTAGTTGTTAAAAAAAATTGAAAGGTTTTACACAAAATCTTCGAATAAAAAAAATAAATAAATAAAAAAAAAAGGGGTAAAGATTTTAAAGAGACAACGACATACGAGTAAAGAGAATACTTTCGGCCGGTTTCATTCCACTCCTTATTTAATTTGAGAGAGTACTTGAAGTTACGTTTCAATTTCAATTTTTTTAATTAAAGCTACAATTGTACTTCAATTCGTATATAAGGTGCCTTAAAATTTTTCACCTTCTAATTAGCTTAGGTTCCTTAAATAATTTTTCAAACATAGGCAAAATCACTATCTATAGCCCTAATGGTAAATAATATTCTAGTTTCAAAATTTACCTAATGTTAAAGAGGTAACAAAGCTTCACTATCTAGAAGGTTTTGATTAAGAAAGAAATTGCTTTCTGGATAGTCAAATGACTTAGAAAATGAGGTTGACAACTGTCTAAATTAGATGATATAGTAAGTGAAAGAAACCTTAGAGATAATCAAATAAACAATGCCAGGAGATTTTCACAATTAATAACAGCTCATTTATAAAGAAGCAATAAGCTAAAGGGGAGTCTTTAATTTTGTAAAAGTAACATAACAATAATAAAAAGGAGATTGATCCATTCATGTAAGGCGAGTCTTTTCCCTATCTTTTAAAAATATG